CCGAGCTCTAGCACGTGGTAGTATGACTATGAGCCGAGCTCTAGCAAAAATGTAGGAATGACTATGAGCCGAGCTCTAGCAAAATGTAGTGTGACTATGAGCCGAGCTCTAGCACAAAAATGTAGGAATGACTATGAGCCGAGCTCTAGCGAAATGTGGTGTGACTATGAGCCGAGCTCTAGCACAAATTAATATGACTATGAGCCGAGCTCTAGCATGAAGGAACATAAATTAATTTCAAATAGTAACATCCTAAGTTGAGGGTCTTGGAGATTGAAACTTTGATTATACTTAGTATAGTTGTCATTGTACTTGTCAAATGCTTCCAAGTACTGACCTCCCCTTCGCGGGGGAGGCCACCTCACAGTTTCAGGTCGGGATTAAAGCTTGCCGCTACCGCCTGTTGCATCGGAGAATTCAAGAGAAGAAGACGTGGTTCGTGCTTCTTCTATTTCTGTTTGAAAACGATTTAAACCATGCTCATGGATATTATTTTTCTTTAATATGTATTTAGGGCTTGTATGCCCATGTTGCCAAAGTGTGGCGTGCACATTTGTATTGAACATTTCCGCTGCTTTAAATGATTATTTTACATTATGTGGTTTATGGATGTACTATGTGTGAATGGTATTCAAGACGCCTAGTATAGTATGGATGAGTTGGACTGCGGTTGACTATTCGTACTGTACGGCGGGTTGTTGACGTGTCCGGTAGGTCCGGGGCGTGACATACAGGGTGTTGTTGAGGTTCGTCCTTTATCTGTGCTTTCATTTCAAAGACGGAACAGTAATCCCCGGCGGTCCTGCTTTTATATATATAGAAATAGAAATGTTAACCAAAAACATGTCCCATGTGCCCCTGCCCCTGCCCCTACCTAGGAGCACAGGACGACTTCATAATCATAAGTTCTTTCTAGAACGCTTGTCTGTAGATTTCTACGAATAACGTGTTCAATACAGCTAGAAGGAAGGCTGTTGCAACCAACACATACACATTATGAGTGAATGGTTTCAATACAGTTTAAATATGTTTTAACTCATGGAACTGGTAACATTGATATTTATACTTCACAATTTTTTCTTGTTTTACCAAAGCGGCCTCAAAGCAAGGCAGTTGTATGTCATTTGGTATGCTTATTTCTTCATAAGACTTGGGCTCTGAATCTGTGACAAATTGAAGAGTTTTATGGCATTCTTTGTTGTAGGCTTTGTAGAGAAGCTGGTGAATAGAAAGATAGACTGGCAGTCGTTTTTAGCAAACGGTATGATCAGCTTGCCTTTCCAAAATTTGAATTCTTATAAAGGATGGGTGGATAACGTTAATGAACATATTCAAACAAACAGAAAAAGCGAGTTTAATGTCTGTGTAGTGCAACATAATAAGAAAGAAACATTAGAAGAATCTGATGCAGATTTTTTCTTTCTAAATTTGAGGCTTTCTTGCCGACCAAATCTGGATCCTTGTTCATCACTCATCTTTTTGAATCTGATTGATGACGGGAGTTTGGGTGGAAGGAGATGGTCCTCCTGGTAAAGGGTTGACAATACGCAAGAACAAAGGCAAGCAAACTGAGCAGCACAGAGTAATACGTGGAGGCAGAAGACATGTGGTCTCTGAGGAACACAAGACAAGGTTCCATGAAGATGCTGATGACAGGAATGACACACACAGTGGTTTAGAGCAGACTGTTTTTCATACACATCAGCAACAACCTCTGGCCCATGTGGTTCGTTGGGAGCGTTTTGTGCCTCTTAGATCTCTCAAGGTTTTGCTTGTGGAAAATGATGAATGTACTCGTCATGTAGTTAGTGCACTGCTTCAAAACTGCAGTTATGAAGGTTTGGTTCTTTCCTTCTCAATTCCTTTCACATTTGTGAGTATGATTATAGCATGGTGTGATGTACGTACTTTTTCCAATTTATCCTATCCTTTTTTATACCTAGTTGGTTGGCATATAAAATATCAGCTAATTAAGTTTCCAGTATTTTGTTTCTAATTAGGCCCTGTTTTTTCCAAGGAAACTGGATTTTCCTCTGTTTGGCACATATAAACATTTTCCTCAAAAGATTTTTCTGAGTTTGACACCTGTAGGAAACCATTTCCTTATATTCGTTTCACGTTTTTGACAAAATGCCTTTCTGCTTTCAGTGTTATTTATTTTTATGGGATAAACATTATATCATACTCCCTCCGTCCCGTAATTAAGTTCCTACTTTCCTTTTTGGGATGGTACATATTAAAGTTCCTACTTCAAACCTTTCCTTATTTGGCAAATGATTTACACCAAAACAGTGCCAAAACAGTGTTCAAACAGTGCCAAACAGTGTTCAAACTGTGCACTCCACAATAAATTCAAATTTATTTTCTTAATATGTGTGAAGTCAAACCAGGAACTTAATTAAGAACCGGAGGGAGTACTATATTATTATATTATTATACATGGAAAATATAAACAATTTCAACGAAACGTGTTCATTTTATGCATGGCCTGAATCTAATTGAACTCTTGTTTATCTTTTCTACTTTTAGTGTCTTTCTCTGTGAGCCATGGTACTTTTTGTTAGGGGTTAATGTATAACCCCACCAGCAGCCCATTGGGTCAAGCCTGTCATATAACGCATATTGATTTCATAGAGTAATCCAACTCGCATAGGCTGGACATTGCAACCAAGTACCCTGGACAATATGGACTTAATTAAATCATGTCGATCAAACACTCAGACATTGGAAGCTGCGCTATCTTTGTCAAGCGCCCAGGTTCAAGCACTCTGGCAAGAGGGTTCCTGTGAGAATAGTTTTAAAAAGTATAGAGTAGGTGATATTGTATGGGCTCTGCATAAGTGTATATTAAATGTCAAATCTCACCAAGGGAGCCACATCTTATATGTACATATGTCCACTCTTAGCATTTTTTGTTTTGTTCTTGAGGGTCGTCGCATGGTGGTGATGTGGGGGTGTACAGAGTTCTATAGTACACAACACTCAAAACCTATGGAGGTGTTTTTGTGCATTTCTCATTAGTGGATCTTGAATATCCTTTATTGCTAATGAGTGCATTGGGAGCATCTATTAATTTCAAGACACAGACATGCATCTGTAAGAAAATGTATTAATGTTAAAAGAAAATATAGATATTGACAATATTGCTGCTTAAGCCCCCTCATATGATTGGACAATAGCTTTTCCATCCTCCGGATGCAATTGTCAGAGTAATATTCATATTTCTATGAAGTATACAATTATACACATCACCTCTAAGCACTTCAGTCTGGCAATGTTTTACTCAAGTGGATGTATTTATATATTAAGACAAGAACCTAAGGCAAGGTCTGATTTGAAATGCATCCATTTTTAACTTTCATTCCTACTTATCGTATTTCTTAATCTTTGAACTTCTCTTTAAAGAAGTATATTGACCATATTTTGTTTTATAGAAGTAGAATCTTAGAAATAAATTGATTTTACAGAAAAATTAAATTAGCAGTACACACTTGTGGTGGGACCCTTCCCCGCCCCACCCCGCCCCACCTTGCGTGGAGGCCTTCGTGCACTGGACTGCCCTTTTTTACAGAAAATTTAAATTCTTGGTACTCATATTTAATCTGTTTGAACACTCATCTTATGAAATTGACTATTAGTACACAAGTTTTATACCGGTTTGTGTAGTTTTGCAACTCTTCATACTCACTGGCCACTTTTAATTTGAAATTGAGAATGTGCGACTTTGTTATTCATCTTATTGTTCTTATTGAATGTGAATCATGGTTTTTTTATTAGATATTTCTTTTTCTATACGCTGTGCCAATTTCTGTTAAAGCATTCAAACATCTGGTTTCTTCATTCTCAAAGAATATTCTGCTTTGGATTACTGCAGTTACAGCTGTTGCAAATGGAGTTGATGCATGGAATGTTTTAGGTGATTTAACCAACCACATAGATCTGGTTCTAACAGAAGTAGCTATGCCATATTTGTCAGGCATTGACCTGATATCAAAGATTGTGAACCACAAAACTCACAAGAGTGTTCCCGTGATCAGTGAGTTTTTTCCCTTATATTTAATTGTTTTTTTATGGACCACATAGCTAATATTTTCAATTCTTTTTAGCTGCTAGACTTAATGAACAGTGTGATTTGTGTGCAGTGATGTCATCAAACGATTCTATGGGAGTAGTGTTCAAGTGTTTGTCAAAGGGTGCAGTGGACTTTTTAGTGAAGCCTATTAGAAAGAATGAGCTTAAAAATCTCTGGCAACATGTTTGGAGGAAATGCCACAGTGTAAATTACATTTTACCTATTTCTTTTGTTATTTACCCTATTTCTGTAGCAAATTTATTAGCACTATGTTTATTCATCATTTTCTCACCCTTATTCTCAGTCAGGTGGCAGTGGCAGTGAAAGTGGTATATGTATCCAAAAGTCCACGAAGTCTAAAAGCAATGGAGGTTCAGGTGATAGTAGTGATGACAATGATGAAAATGCAAGTGATAATGGAAGTGGCACACAGGTCTCCTTCGCATCTGTAGATACTATGCAGAAAATGTATTTGAACATTTTATGAAATACTCAAACTGTTGTCATATGTGTGCCTGCAAAATCAATAGCCTTTAAAAAAATATAACCAATTATCAGTTATTGATATTTGGTGTAAAGGTCATGAGGCTCTTGAAATTAGCACTGTGGTAGTTTCTTTTGAAAATTAATTATAAAGCAAGAAAAATAAGCATGTGAAACGAATGATCTTTGACTTGGAATGTTTAAAAAGTTTTTTTCATTTTATTTGGCACAATCTGAGTTCTCAAGTATATTCCGATACCAACTGTCAGTGTATTTCTGTTCCAAGACATGTCCTGAAGAATAAGATCGCATGCTGTAGATGACTAGTTGTGGATGGACTCCACTATTTTAGTGTCAATTTTATAACTCTTTGGAACAATTCGTTGGGTGCTTAGTATTCTTTCTCTAATATTTTCACTAGTCTCACCACCCTTATTTGTTACAGGGTTCGTGGTCGAATCAGGCTGTTTTAACGGAAAACCCTCAGGCCATGTTGCAATGGGATGAATTAGCTGAAGCCCCTGACAGCACTTGTGCTCAGGCTATTCATTCAAGGCCACAAGCAGACATTTCAAACTGGGGTCCTGGAATATCCGCTGGAGAGCGCCGAGATGAGAAAGATGGACATGGTAAAATAGGTCTTCCTAACTCAACGCTATAAATTGTCCATATAAAATTTATTTTGGAAAGAGATTTCCAGTGTCCTGAATTATTATATTTTTACGTCCTCTGCTTTCCCCTGATCTGAATGAGTAAGTGTATGATTTGGTATGAAACAGGAACTGCGTCAATGGGAAAGTATTTGCAGATAGGAGTAGCAAGGACCCCAGATTTACAGCTTAGTGGAGAGAATGGGTCAAAAGACTTGAATAAGTTATTGATTGGAAAGCTAGAGGAGCTTAACACAGCTGAGTTAAAGGGCAAGGATAATACTGACATTGATGTTCCCACCGGTCCATCCATGGAAATAGGCACGACAAAGGATATGCCTTCACTTGAACTTAGTTTGAAGCAACACAGAGAAGTTGTAGATGCTGGAGCCGCGCTGCAAGAACACAATGCGCTGAGGCACTCGGACCAATCTGCATTCTCAAGGCATGAAATTTTGAAGTTCAACTAGTCAATAAAACGAAAACATTTTCTTTCTACTATTTTAGTTGTTAAGCATTTGGAGGATTATCGCATCATGAATCATATTGCACTCTCTTCATTTCCATGCTTAGGTATGGTGGTGGTACTACTACTACATCAACATCTGCTAACCCTCAGACAACTGCTGGAAATGTCGGAAGCTGCTCTCCTGTTAATGATGATGATGATGATAATAATTATAATAATAATAGCTCTGTAGGAGCAAAAGCAGGATCAATGAATAACTTAATGCGTTCTAGTGGTGGTAGTAACAACATTGATATTGGCTCATCAACTGGTAAAAGTTTAGCCCAGCCATCAAAGATCCCTTTTGGTAGGCCTCATTTTTTCCTTTTCAGCTGACATTTTTTCTACAAACACTGAGAATTAAAAAAAAAACTAGTGTTAGAGCTTTTATTTGTGCTTTATTGATATTTTACCTCTACTTTTGGATATTGTTTCTAAACAAAGTAACATCAAATAGGAATAATTCACAGGTCAACCAGGCATTCTAGCCCAGCTGGTTGTGAGGTTATCGTGCCTAGTGGGAGGTCTCGTGTTCGAAACTCGCTAGGCACATAAGGGTTTGAAACTCAATGGAGTGAGTTTCAGCCCTGATTACTCCAGGCTCCCCAGACCCCTCCCCCAGACCCCCCTGGAGTAAAAAAAAGAATAATTCACAGGTCATGTGCGCAAATAGAAGTGTTCTTATATTGTGTTAAAATTGGAACTTATCTGGTCCTATTATTCATTGATGGGCCTATTTGAGGCAATGCACTATGTTTTAGTCATATTTCTATTTTTTTTGTAATAAATTGAACATTTATATTTTTTAAAATTACTCAGATAATTCAGCAGATTCAGTAAAATCACTCACTTAATCTGTAGGTGTAAATGTGCATCATCCTTGCTCTTCTCCCCCCTTGCAGGAAAAGTTGACTCAGTAGCACATGCAGCATTGGTACAGTCAAGGGTGTTGATGCAACAGCAACAGGTTCAAGTTCAGCACCACTACCATCATTACCATCACCATCATCACCATGTGCACAGTCAGCAACAGAATGACTCTTTGGCTGTTAGAGAAAATGGTGTGGATGCTCCAAACCACATGCTAGGGGATGAAGAAAACTACACAAGTGCATCTGGGAGTAACAATGGAAGCAATGGGCAGAACGAGAGCAACGCAGGTGTAGTTGGTGATGAAACTAACAACAACATGGATTCTGAAGATGATGAGATGGATGCAAAATGCACAGCTGAGGGTGGCGGTGGGAGTGGTAGCGGGAGCAGGAGCGGAGTGATGGACCAAAGCCGACAAACGCAAAGGGAAGCTGCCTTGTACAAGTTCAGGCAAAAACGAAAAAGAGAGGAACTTTGACAAAAAGGTAGTTATTTTAAGGGTCTGTTTGGATGGAGGGTTGTGGCGGCGAAGGCTACATGTGTGTGTATTTGAGATTTTATGAAATCAAAAAAATGATATGTTAATTTGTGTCATGTGTGCGTATATTAAATTTAACCAAGCTTTGAAGTCCTCCCCCCCCCCCAAAGAGAAAGAAAGAAAAAAGGCAAAAAGAGAATTATTCATCCAAACAGATCTCAAAGGTTACCACCATTCATCCCACAGACAACTCATCTCGCGACAGACAATCTGTCTGTGGGGACAGACGAGTGTACACTTTTTGTGTACAAAAAGTGTGTACCCCTAGCAGGCCTCAAAAGGAAAACTCCAGCTTGTACATTTTGCGTACACCGCCTACTTTAAAAGTGCACAAAAACAATTTGCCTAAAAGGTAGAAGTTGTCTGGCTATTTACATAGATAGAATGGTTGAGATACTAAAACATGATTGATTTACCAAAGTAATAAACAAATCATGGATTTTTTTTCAAATTATAGACTAGTATGTTAAAAATGTGTGATAAAGCAAGACTTTGGCTCTCAAGAGTCACGACTTTATCGTATGATCGGACCGAATTAAAATAAATATTTATAAATTATTATTGAATTTTAAATTTGATTATCATACATTCTGAACTTAGGTAGTCATATAAGGGAGTGTTTGGAACTGATTCTGCTTCTGCTTCTTTTTTTAAAGTAGAAGCAGAATCAGAATCAGTTTTCAGAAGTTGGACCCCCAGCTTCTAAAAAAAATAATTCTAGGAGTAAATTAGAGCACCAGAATCACTTCTGCACTTTCACTCAAACACAACGGCTTTTGTTTCTGCTCCCTCAAGGAGCAGAAACAGTTTTAAGAATCAGATCCAAACACCCCCTAAGTATCTCAAAAACCAAAATGCACACACAACAAACATACACATATATCAATTCCAAAGATCCATATAAAAGGTTCATGCTTTCAAATTTTTGCACATTTGCTCTTTTATGATGAATAAAGAAATGAATGACTAATAATTAATTCCTTATAGTTTTAAGTGAGTATTCAGATCGATTTTGATCCGATCAGACACTTTTTGGTTTAAATTCGAAAGGATCTAGAATTAATATCTCCATATATGTATGTAAATGCATACCTAGTTATCAAGTTTGATTTGATTAGTGCTCAACTCTATACAACATTATTTGTGTAATGCCTTGCGTGATTTCTTGATTGAAATATATAATAAATGCATCATTCCTATTCTTTTCCTTGATGAGAAACAAGATCAAAAGACAGACCATGACTAACCTGGCGGCGGTTAACTAATTAACACCATACTTTGTAGCCTCCATACTCTATACCAAAACTCTTGCAATTTCATGAATTTCGATCATCAAAACATGCACAATAGAAATACCCATAGAAATACTACCAACGCCACAACATTGCTGGATCCGAGGAATTGAAGCAATTCAAATAACGTTGTAAATGACTTCACCAATGGAATTGAATTTCACAAATAATAATCCCATCCTTAATGAAATCTTAATTATGTCTCTATGTCTGTCTTAGGTGAATTAAGCACTCCGAGCAAATGTAGCTAGGCCAAGAGAGGAGAATAAACAAAGAGCTAGGAGAGATAGTTTCTCAAACATGCATTTTAATTGTGCTCAATGTGCTAATTTCTTATTTCTCTTTCTTTCTTAATTAATATTAATAATATATGTGGCCAATATATGTCTTCTCAAGAAAATATTCCGTATATGTATGGCGTATATTGTGGCTTAATTGTTTGCATCTCCCAATTCACACGTTCACTTCGATCACCACGTTTTATGCATGCTTTAATTTGCTTTGTTTTATGAGAAAAAAATATTAACCTCGTCCCAAAATTATCTTCATTCTTTTCATTTTATTAATCCGTATTATTTATTATTCCGTATTATTTAGGATGGTATAGGGACAATCCGGGTCCTATTTATGAAACTATAAACAGTCTGTTAATAAATTAATAGACTGTCAGAAGATAATATGTGACCGAATTAGACATTGATGAGTTTTTTCATTTATGTGATTAATTAATTAATTAATTAATTAATTACTTAATTAATTAATTAATCTTACTACTTTTATAATCATGGTACATCATTTTATATATCACTTTGGGATAAATACTTGAGCAAAAAATTATTACTCTCTCTGTCTCATTTTACATCACTTGCTTCCCTTTTTGGATTGTCCCACAATAAGTTTCACAATTCCTTTTTTGAAAAGAAATATGTGGTCTATGGTATTTCACTTGTTTATACTCAAATCTCAATTATAATTTTTACCTTTTCAACCAATTTATTAATAACAATACCAACAAATTAGGACATACAAAATAGGACGGTGGTAGTTCAATTTTGGTACTTTATGAAATTAAATAAATACAAAAATAACTAATAAAGAAAAGATTTGGTACCATTTTTTTTTAATTATTGTTACTATTATCAATACATGAGATGAAAACGTATTACTAAAATTAGAGATTTTATTTTATATAACTTGACTACATTTTAGGAAGGAAATTTAAAACCTAGTCATTTTATTCTTTATACAGAAATTGCTCTAAATAGGATTAAAAACGTTTTGAAATTCAAAAATAGGATTATCATGTTTTTATTATCTGAATAGGAGTAATCTGTCAAGTTTGGGAAAAAATGCCATGTTTAAAGTCTAGTAATGCCAAACTTGACAGAAATTTATTCCTATTCAGCAAATAAAAAAACATGATAGTCCTAATTTAAAATTTCAAAACGTTTTTACTCCTATTTTGGGAATTTTCTCTTATTTAAAATATATAAAGATAAAGATACAAGAGGTGTTTGGTAAATATAGCGTTTCAGGCGAAAAAAGTATATGGTTTGACCACTTTTGGCGTGTTCGATAAGTGAAAACGATATTTGATAAATAACGGTTCGACACTAGCGTTTTTGGATGAAATCGCTAAAAGGAAACGCTGCAAATTGGAGAGTTTTGAGTTACCATTTTGAAAAATGGTAAATATATTAATTTTTTTGGCCAAATAGCTAAAATACCAAACATCTTCTGACAACCTATCAAACCCGCAGATTGAATACACTATTGACAACCCACTAACAAAATCCGCTATCCGCTAACCGCTAAATGCCAAAGACGCTCACAATCAATTTTGGAAATGATAAACGAGGCTGACTTAGCTTGATAAGAGCCTTCCATTTCAATAATTCAATCTACATTATATTATGGAATATATACTTTTCCACAATCCAAAGATCTTCCAATTAATATTATTAATTGGAATATTTAATATCACTCTTTTTAGAGGTATAAAAATGGTAATTAAGTTAATGCGGGTCTATTAATTAAATGTGTATACATGTACATATAAATATGTATATATTTTTTAACTCACATATAAAGATGTATATAAAAACCTTGTTTAGATCATGTTTTCATTTCAACTGAATTCTAAGTCATATTTTACATAAATATTTATATGACATGTTATATGATATGATGTGTGTAATCCTGATGAATATAATTTAAAAGTTCATATAAATATTCTTACTCATTTATATTGGATATAAAAGAAATTGTCTTAAATAAGAGTAAATTAAAACATTTGTAAATTTCAAAATAGAAATACTATGTTTTTACTCCCTAAATAAGAATAATTGTCCTATTTTGACATAACAAAGAATTAAATATGACGGTATTTTCAAATCTTAACATTCATTACTCTTATTTTAGTTATTTACACATAAACTAATACATAGTGCGTGTGTGTGTATGTGTGTGTATGATTTCGTTTTTTAAATAACGGTAAAAATATTTTGAAATTACAAAATAGGAGGTCATATTTGAGATCATCTATGACCTACTCGCTTTCAAGTGTACTTGCTTACATAAATTAATAATATTAGGAATATAAATTAAATTTGGGAATATTATAAAGGAAATACTTTTAATTAATACTCTCTTTGTCCATATATAAAAGTCCTGGTTTCTATGCACGCATCATAAGTAAATGATTTTTTTCCTTTGACTTCCTGAAATACTTCTTTTATGGAGGTTAAATTTTACTATAGAGTACATTAATTTGAAAATTTTTAACATTGTTTTGCACTATATTGTCACTAATATTTAAGGATATAAAGTGATATAAATTTGTTTATCAAATAGGGATATTGGACTTTACTTAATTAGGAACATCTATATATGAAGGTAGGGGTGGAGCCACTTGATATCACTGAATCCCCATATATAATAGGACCATTATTGGTGTACACTAGTTGTACACAAAATGTGTACATTGTCTGTGTACACAGACAATTTGACATGAAGTACTGCCCCTTTTTAAACGAATTGTCTGTGTACACAGACAAATAGGGTGGTTTTGTGTACAATTTGTGTAAAAGTCATGTACACTAAGCATTTTCCTATATAATTACACGGATCGCATAATTGATATTCAGACAACTTTCTCAAATTCAAAGAGCTAGAAAATCAACAATTATTCGATCAGTTCAATTAAAATGAATATTAATTTGCAATTTACTAATTTTTATTATTGGTGTTGGTCTACTGATGAGGGAACACCCTACACCTGAACTTGCTTGCTTGGGAGAGGCCAATGTATCACTACTCCGTATCTGTGTGTATCTGGGAGATACGCAATAACTACATACCCATGTTTTAGTGATATAGACACCAGACATGGTAATCACCAATGATATGTAAGGTTCAACAAATGTCCAAATATATTTTTCCGGAATGTAATATATTCGGTGGAGGATATAAGGGCAACTCCAATGCTGAGATGGCAAAGTAATGAACATGGTGTATTCCAAATGTGGACAAAAAATTTAGGAAATAGTAGGGTCTATTCAATTTGAACTCCAATGCAAATAACAAAGAAAAACTAAATAAAAAGCAAAAATGAAAATGAATGGCCGAAAATCCTAGAGGCCTACATATGCCTTGTTGGCTTTGTCAGAGGGTGAGACCCAAGGTCTCAATATGGACCTCCTCCTTGACATTGTTCCTAATTATTAAGTGCCAAGTCACCTACAATGGAACTACATTATTTTGCATTGGAAAGTAGACTTTCATTTTAATTTTGCATTTGATGATGTGGAGGGGCAATGCACCTCTCCATTGGAGTTGCTCTAACCTACTACCCCAGTACCCCTCCCCTATTGACCTATTCGGCTATTCAGATAAAAAAAAATATAACTACTCCCTCCATAAATTAAAAACATTCTCATTTCAAAATTAGGTAAATTAAGAATAGTGAAAGAAGATACTACGTATAAATTATTGAGGACATGATAAGAAAATAGTGAAATAATGTGATGAAATTGAAAGATAAATAAAAAAATAGTAGGAATAGTGTATTATTTTATCAAAATTATTTTAGGGAAAGATGAGAAGATTATTTTTTGTTAGGGACGAAAAAGAAAAATGGAACATTCTTTTGTTACAGAGGAAATATTAGATAAGTTAATAGTTCTGTCAAAAATCTAGCATATGTGAATTGTTATAAACGACTATGAATTTATGAAGCGGGTCAATTTGATGAACTTAGACATGTTGGTTACTCCTACTATACATACAAGTTTAGGGTAATACATTTGTTGATGAAAGTGATTTAAAAATCAACAGACATTGTTAGTAGCTTAATTGGTAAAAATGATAGAGGATTATCAATTTGTTTTTATTGCATAGTTGATAAAAGCGTATTGCGATTGATCAATATGTTGTCAAATTTCTTAAAATAAAAAGATCAAGATATTCTTGAAGTTGTGATCTTGATTAAGAACACAAAAGGTAAAATTTCAAGTTTTGAGAGAAAATAAATTAGAAGATTTCTTGAAAGATGTTAATAATTATTTTGTTAATTAAGAAAAACGTTAACATTCATAACATGGAAGATATGAATCGTTGTTGTAGATGTGTACATTATCCAATAACAAATTATCATCACTTTGGAGCTGTTATATCATCATCATAATCATAGTCATCATCATCATCATACTTCAGTTTTGGACATGGTAATTTTGTGGCATGATGTGTAACGTTCAACACGATAGCAGTTCTGAATTGAAATTCCGAGTATCTGTAGTGTAAAACTAACTTGAATTCTAATGCAAAAACAGAAATGGTGCAAGAATGATTCAGTTATAATCCATATCATGTTTTTCTTTTTAAAAAATGAATATTATTGTTTAGAACTGTGTTAATTGGTAGAAAACTAGACCTATAGTCCTATATACATATATGTAAGTCACTTCAAACTAATAATATCCTATTTCCGTATAAAAAAATTGTATGAACGTACGAACTAGACTAATAGATTAGTCTAACACCCGATCCGACCCGTTTCCCTCCATGCAACCGTGCCTAGCTTGAGAAAAATTCTAAGCGCAGCTGTATATATATGATACTACTTCCGTCCATTAAAACTTTGCCAAGTTTGACCGGCACGGGGATTAATAAAGTAAAAACTGTGTGGTTAAGGTTTGTGCAGAGGAGAGAGAATTAACAGAAACCACAAATTCTTTACTTAAAATGGAAAGTGGCAAAGTTAGTGGGACATCCAAAAAAGGAAAGTTGGCAAAGTTTTAAGGGACGGAGGGAGTAGGTATGTGATAGGTTATCTTTACTTTTGATTAAAGTATACGACATTATTTTACCAAAAAAAAAAGTATACGACATTATCTTCTCAAGTTGGATGTTATCTACTTATAACTCTATCTTTTGTAAGAAAAAACTATTGATAACTGTATCCAATTTATACTTTCAAGTCTTGTCGAGTGTAAGGATGTTTTCTTTTGGACTGAAATTTGCTGGTCTGGTCTGATCTGGTCTGTTTAAGTCTGGTCTGGTCTGTTTAAGTCTGGTCTGGTCTGAACTGGTCTGGTAAATGTCTGGTCTCTGTGTATTTTATAACTACGGAAGTCTGGTCGGGTCAGGTCTGGTCTGTTTAAGTCTGGTCTGGTCTAGTTTGATCTGTTTAAGTCTGATCTGTTTAAATCTGACTGGTCTGGTCTGGGATTGAAAACAATCCAAAAGAAAACCTCCTGACGATTATAAAAAAAATTACGAAGTGCATGAATTTGTGACCTAAAGCTTTCCTTTTAGCCTACCTCAACCATAATTCCTCGATCCATGTAAAATAGCAACTCCTTTTAGTCAAATACCGAATTTCATAAAATTTACTCGGTCACATAAAATTATGTATTCAATAAAGTGTTATATAGATACATCTACCTATGAAAAACAATCAGATGAGCCCTGAAACCCTTTTGACAATCTGGTAATCCCGATTTTAGCGCACGTCTGACCACCTTTTCAAAAAAGATTATAAGGTTGACGCGAAATACTTCACCAAGATTGTCTTAAATATAGCCATATAGGTAGAGAAAAATAACGACACGTTAGCTAAAATCAAGATTATGAGGTTGTCAACGAGCTATTACGACTCGTTTGTCAATTTGGATGTTCCCAAAAACAATTTATCATTTCCTCTCACTAACAATCATTACCTCTTTCTTTTTAAGGATGTTTTCTTTTGGACGGTTTTCAGTCCCAAACTAAACTTCCGTAGTTATAAAATACACAGAGATCAGACGTTTACTAGACCAGACCAGATCAGACCAGCAAATTTCAGCCCAAAAGAAAACCTCATAACTACAATCATATATTTTGACTTTATTCTTAACTTTTAAACTTCTATAAAGTCAAATTAACAAGAGTTTTATGAGATTAATGGAGTATTGTATAAGGAAAAGTGAATTTCTTTCTTTATGAGAGTAATTTTTTAATACTTCGTATTAGGGGTGGGATTTTGGAACCGGGAACCGTAGAACCGATTGGAACCGAACCGTTAATAACATCTAGGAACCGAACCGTTAACAATTAATGCATCATTTGTAGGAACCGAACCGAAGCGGGTTATAACGGTTCGGTTCCCGGTTCCTATAAAAAATATGTGCATGGAACCGTTAAGGAACCGTTATTAAAAAAATAAAAAATAAAATATTAGGAGTAGTAGTAGTAGTAGTAACAATAATAATAATATAATAGCAATAATAACCACCACCACAACAATAATAATAAAACAATATAAGATATTTAACTAACAATTCTAATTTAATCAATGGAAAAGAAGTAATAAATATTGTACATGAGGTTGATATAATACATTAAACTCCTTTCTACAAATCAAGTTTTGTTCCATCACATAAATTTTATAAATATAAAATAACCCAAATAACTTGCAGTTGATTGCACATATTTTACTTTACTATTTTCATGATATTTCTAATTATTAGATTTATTATGAATCAATAGAATGTAATAATGTTTTTTTATATCTATCATGCAAACTCAATGCCTTTTTTTTTATGTTTTGAAAGACTTGAAGTAGGCGTCCTATTCTTGCTACTATGATGACGAGTAACCTTCATCGCTCCGACACTACAACGATTTTTAATGTTTCATTTATTACATGAAAATTTAAATCACTTCTGTTCTATTAAGTGTTCAAAGTTCATTAGTTAAGTTTGAGCTTTGATGTTTGAAGTGATTAGAGTTTCAAATAAAATTTTAATACTCGTGTTTTGAATTTTTGACGTGTTTAAAATTATGTGTTAATTCTTAGACGAGAAAAAATTATTCTAGGAACCGGTAAAAGGAAGAACCGAACCGTTTACTACCGGTTCGGTTCCATAACGGTTCTTGATTTTTTATATAGGAACCGAACCGATTTCATTAGTTAAAACTTTTATAACGGTTCCACTCATTTTGAGTGAGAACCGAACTGATCCCAGCCCTACTTCGTATACAACTAAGACGCAAATGGTCTGGGTTAGGTGATCCAACTTCTTCCCTTCTAAAAACAGCTATCCAAAATCGAAATTCTGGCAACAAAATCTCTCTATCTGCAATAAGACAAAACACAAATTGAGACTGTCTAGAGCAAAAAGACATAGAAGAAACAGATGCCCAGACAGTATCAATGGAATGCATGGGATTAGTAGAAAAATGGTAATAATCCAATTTGGTACTATCTGAGCAGAGACTACTGATTCAACTAAGAATTGGTATTATTATAATACAAACCTCACTAGCTCCTTTACTTTCATCCTCCTGGACCTCCTCCACTCTTAGTGCCCTTTTCCATGGCTTTCTTCTCTGCAATTGTTGCCTTCTCTACTCTCATCTTTCTGTATTCTCCTCATCCTTTCTGGGAATCCTTTTACTCCCCGCTCCTTGTTTTGACCTTCGCCCTCCTCCTTTCAATCCTCCGGCTCATCGCTTCTCGTAGACCCGCCCGGTTCGGCGAAACCGAGGTCGGTCCGGTTGGACCATCTTCATGTGATTCTCCCGCCGATGCGAAATGTCCGGGCCCTGACCCGAACCCGATCCACGACGGCTTGATTCTGGATCGGAATGCGAGATCTGCAGAAGAGGCGATAGACGAAGAGTACGACGGGGAAAACGACGGCGTTCTGCACGGGAAGAGAGGTCTGGATCTGGGCGCCGCCATTGAGAGGTACGATTCCCTCGCGTTGTGCTATCCGGAAACTGATTCCGACTGTTCTTCGTCGGACGGGGAGTTTACGGAGATCGGAGAGTGGCGGGACGAGTATTCCGGTGGGTGGGAGGAGGAGAGGGAGGAGATGATGATTGAGATTAAGCTGGACTGGGAGCGAAGGCCTAACAAGGTGATTGTGGAGGAGGACAATTTGATCGAGATCGACCTTTCCCCTAATCGCGAGTTTTGTGATGAGTTTTCAGATTAGTGTTCATGCACGTTCTTTCACAAAATTGCTAATGTAATTAATTTTGTTGATTTTGTATTATAAATTAGAAATAATATGTAATTTCCTTGTACCATAATGATTTTTCATTCTATCATTATATGAATTAATTCGCTTTTTGGGTCTACGAGTTTTGTGCTAATTCTATCTTTATATCACGTCTTTCACTTTGTTCAATTTTGATACTTGATTAATTTTTTCTTGACCGTTCGTGATCTATTTTCGCCGATTTTAACCATAAAAAACAATGCCAGAAGAACTATATATGGGCGAAAACTCGATATTCATATATTAAAAGTAAACAAAGTGAAAAATGTGAATTAAATGTGTAATTGATCTAGAATTCGTACGACTAAAAATGAAATTTATTCTTCATTATATCCAGTAATTTGTCACAGTCAACTTAAATCCAAAGGATCAACTCAGTCAACACCGGAAGGACCCGGTCAACATTTATAATGTTGTATAGCAATAAATATTGTACAATTAAAATAAAATGTATTTAGTTTTCACAATAATCAAATACTTTTAATACTTACTAAACAGTGAAAACACGTACATTATATTTGTTTAAGCATTTTTACGTAGATTTGGAATACTGTATATTAATTAGTACTACCTCCGTCCCAGGGAGAAGTTCCCAATTTTCTTTTTTGGCAGTCCCAACAAAAAGTTCTCATTTCCTTAAATGGAAAGTTATCCTACATAAAAACAGTGCCAAACAATGCAAAACAGTGCCAAACAGTGTCAAAACAGTGCCAAACAGTGTCGAAACGGTGCCAAACAGTAAATTTTACCCCTCAGTAACTTTATATCCTTAATATGTGTGAAAGTCAACCCGGGAACTTCTCCCTGGGACGGAGGGAGTATATTATATCGATTTAATTTTTTTTAGCATTTTAACACATATAATCTTGACGTATAATAAGGATATTTTTACTTGGACTGTAATTTGCTGGTCTGGTCTGGTTTCTTTGTATTTTTATAACTATCCAAGTCTGGTCTGGTCTGAACTGGTCTAGTCTGGATTGGTCTGGGACAAATTACCGTCCAAGTAAAAACTTCCTAATAGCTATAATACTCCATAATATATTACTCCGTAGTATATTCATTAAATATTAAACATGGTTTTTCCTAAAATATTACTAATACATAAGCCATGGACAAAATGTGACTTAGTAGCTTATAGTTACTATAATGTTTAAGGTTTACATCATGATCACTACATCATGATAACTTTGAACATAATTATAGTAACTAAAAGTTATCAAATCACATTTTTGTCCGTAACTCTTACAAGAGTAAGGATGTTTTTACTTGGACTGTAATTTGCCCCAGACCAGTCCATACCAGACCAGACCAGACTTGGATAGTTATAAAAATACAAAGAAACCAGACCTTACCAGACCAGACCAGACCAGTTCAGATCAGACCAGACCAGCAAATTACAGTCCAAATAAAAACATCCTAATATCGTAACTATTACATTTTAAATTACCATTTTATATATAGAAATGCTTTTAAAGGGTATATTATGCGGTTCGTTGAGCTGGTTGTTAACACGAGGGATCGATTCCCAACTCTAGGGATTTTTGGTATGGCTTGAGTTTCCGTCACTACCCGATGTCCCAATGCTCTGATTCTTGGTCGTTCCAAACCTGATCTGGATCAGGTCTGAGCGAGCTAATGGTTTTTGCTGGATTAGCGGGTTATAAGGTAATCAAACTGGTTTGGGTGCCGGGTCACCGGTTTATGGGCTGATCCATTATCCCATTTGATCCTCTTAACATAGTTTTTTTAGGGAATTCTCTTAACATAGTTGCGAATGTGAAACTTTTCTATGATAAAGTATGTGTGATCCATAGTATATATATCCGGGTTCATTATAATTTTATTTTTTTAATCTCATGAGAAAAAGAAAATAATTACTCCGTTTATTTAGAAGCTTCAAAGTCTCTCATTGGACCTTAAGGTCATTATGGAATTTCCAACATACAAATACATTCAGTTTTGGCACATACTTGATACTTGTATGTAAGTATGGCTATATTGATACTGTGGAGTCCCTTTTTTACTACTTGGGTATTGAAGTGTTAAAGTCTGTCGAGCTAGTAATGCTGAATTTAATTGAATCGACCAAAATTACAAAAATTCTAATTATTTTAGTTAAATTATGGAAATACTATAACTAAAATATACGGAGTACTACGTATTTTATTATTATGATCTTGAACTTGGCTTATTTCGATGTTACATAATTCATTGTACTTTTTTGTTCTTCCGGTGTAGGCTGCTTGTAATTCTCAAATAAACGTAAAAGATTTTCCCCATTCTTGATAAGATTTATCACCCTACGATTTCTGATTTTGGAATTTGGAGTAGACTCTGAATAACTTGTTCACAAGAATCTATTCCCAAATCTTATCTTATTCGATACAGATTTTACCACTGACAATTAACGTAGCAAAATATGCCAAAGAGGGAGGAGGAATATTGTAATTTTATTGGATCCAACTGTTATGTCTCACAAATGTTGAAGTTCAGCATATGCTACTCGTAGTATTCCATCTATTCGGGTATGATCAAATGAGTGCAACTTCCCATTGAGGCATTTAGGGTTGAAATAAACATTCATTGTAAAGTAAGCTCTTTTGCGGAATGAGTTTATAATCATTAAATTGGAATAGATTGAAATAATGTACACATGAGTATGTTTCGAATTTAGATATTCACATAGGGTGAATCGGGGTAAAAAAAAATGGACGTTTTATTGTAAAAGGCATTCTCTAATGCATATATTCTTCAGAAATATTATGGGCCCTCCAATAACCTCCATTATATTATATGAACGAATAGCTTTTATGACGTACATAAGCTATATGACTTCATGGTAAGCTCTTAAAATTGGAGTTGACATTTGGAAGGGTATAAAATTACATGCATCTTCTTCTACATTGGAGTCACGTCTTGCAAATGAGTCATCTCCCTTTGATATATAATGTTTTGGCCCATATATCAAATAGACCATTTCTTTAACATTATGACTCAAAAGATCGGTTTACAACGTTTAAATGTCTATTGTTTTCTCCTTACTCAAAAGGAGAGAAATAGTATACAAATAGAAGGTTGAAAAGCATCATTGATTAATTACGGAAATTATTTGAGTAAAAGGGTAAACAAGTAACCTCAAGTTAGCTCGTGAAAAAATTTAGATTTATGGTGAAAGAGTGGTGGTAGAGAGGGATGACAAAAAATAGTAGACATAAATCTTTTTCCACTCATGCTATAATAACTCGAACACGCCCCAACAGATAACTAGATAACGGAGCTTATCTGTTTTTGAGCGGATCTTGACATCTTTTTATCACGCCACTGCCTAGTTTTTTGTATCACTATCTTTTGCTAGATTATTGGCTAACTTGTTTGAGTTAGCCATCGTCATTGTCTTGACGGTAAAAAAGGGAAATATGACACTTATTTGGGACAATTGAAACAAAAAATGTAAGACATATAAGATGTAACAGAGTGAGTATCAATATTATTTGCTGCCAGCGCCCCGTTAACCTTGAAATATACGGAGTAATTCTTATGAGCCGAACAAGCTTCCAGATTGTTTACTTCACTTTTACTCAAAATGAATGTTGATGATAGATGATCATTTCTAAAATTGTCTTAAAAACTGAAACAATCAATAAATTCAGCCGAACTAATCAACAAAGTAACTCCAATCTTATCTAAATGAAAATAAAAAATTAAGCTTGTTACAAGAGACCTACATAATAAATTGGTAAGGCGGAAAATGAGTATTTGAAGGGCTTTAAAAATTAAGACAGAAAACCGGGAAATTCAATTGCTCCTTTTCGGTGGCTGGTCAAACTGAATCCATTTTGAGTAGCATGAGCAGTCAAACTGCGGTACTAGTCTACATCGTTGCAGGATTAGCGAACATGAGCGTCTTTATAAGTTTGTTTGTTCTTTGTCTCACCCTAGTGTAACTTTGAACGCTATAATTGTAATGCTTCGTCTTTTAATTGTTATGTTTCTTGATACGTTTATCAATAATAATTAAGTTGTTTGTTTAAAAAAAGTTAAGGCAGTTGGGGTGCAGATAATGTTTGGCCGAGATTTGAACGTTTTATATGGCTACGACCAAACACTTGTATAGTCATACTGAGTGAAATATATAAATACTACGTATTTTAGATTAGTTTTTACTGTTTTTGAAGTATGAAACTAAAATGGAGATCATAATTGGGCATAGAGCCTTCGACTTTGCTCGTCTTGCCAATGACGATGAGGTCGATGATGTTATGTTACTTGATGATTGGATAAATGTTTTCCAACCGTTCAATAATCCATCCACCCCCAACATTATTTAAGTCCCTCCCCTTCTATGGATTACTATACTGTCACTATATAGCTTTAAATAATACCAATTATCACCCATAAATCAATAATAATACATACTTTGAAATTGATTTTTAATAATATCAACTATTTGAGTATAAACCAAAAATAATATGGAGTCACTTTCGACAAGAAATCTAGTCATTTAAGACATTAAAAACTAATTGCACATTATCAAATGATATTTGGAAATACAATCACCTATTTGATATCTTGATAGTAGCTTTTGATGAATTAAATTACTGAATTTTCATTGAAAATTTGTTCTATATCACTTTTGGCTTGTATTATTTAAAGTTATTTTCCCAAAACTTTAACAACTATGATATCTTATTAGATGAATATGTGTTTAAGTAAATAAATAACAAGATCTTGGCCTGCTCTACCCATATTGGATTGAAGTCTTAAGAGGAAGTTCCAAGTCTTGAAATGGTGTATTAGAGCATATATTACGATCGAACGCGCAGAGTCAAATACTCTCAACGTAGTTATGGATTTTTTGCCACTTTTGGTCCTTTGTGTTTGCTTGTTCTGTATGGGAGTTGGCTGGTAAAAAAGTTGAAAGTCAGGGTAAAAAGTGAGAATGGCTTGGAGCCCGTTTGGTAACACGAAAATCGGCTGAGCTGCCTGATTGTTGAAATTTATAAAGTTCTGACTGAAGTGGCTGCATTGGTTAATTTTGCAGATTTAAGAAAAAATCATTTTTAATAAACATAGTTCACTCTTTAAC